CCTTATAAAACTACCTTATAAACTACCTTATAAAACTACCTTATAAACTACCTTATAAAACTACCTTATAAAACTACCTTATAAAACTGGTTTTGTATTTGACAAAAACTGGAGAAAAATGAAAAAGATAAAAGTGACTTTACATAATACTATTTTTCATTTTTCAAAACAGTGTTTTATCTGTGTATGTTTGTATGTACTACACATGGCTAAACGCTTGACGTAGTGCATGTGTGGCGATCAAAGGAGAGCTGTGGGCATCCCAAATACTGAACTCGGACTTGGCAGCCAGTTCCTTTTTTACCTGACCTTGTATCTAAAATGCTTCAAAGAAATTAAAACTTTTATTTAAAAATTTGTAGGGGTAGCATTTGTGAGGCTCAGAGCTTTCAAAATAAAATTAATTTTCACTTTTGCAAGTGAAAGTAGCCAGAATAGCAGACATTTCCTCTGATCCCATTGTCACTTTCAGCCATCATCGTGTTCCCTTTGACATTTCCCTTTGGAGCAAGTGTTCAGTGTGAGTGTTTACACACACACACGCCGACCTGTGTGTGCACAAGTTGTCGTTGTTACAGTGTTCACTGTGAGTGTTTACATACACACATGCCGACCTGTGTGTGCACGATATGCAGATTTTCAGTTAGGCGCTTACTCCCTGCATTAAAACAGGATACTGAGAAGACAACTCACTGTATGACTTTGCCCTGTGCTGTTAATTCAGTCTTGCTCGAAAAGCAAAGGCACTGGTAGAATTCTTGGAACTTAAAACAAGCATAAAGCACTGTTCTTAAGAAGGTCAAAGCCAGCATCAGATAAAAGAACTTTCTGGAATTAGGTCCTGACAAGGCAAACCCGCCAGGCAATGTAGGTTAGAAAAAGGAGTTCTCCCAGATGTACAGAATTTGATTCGTTGACTGCATTATGCTTTTTACTTGGCAGGATAACCATGAGAATAGCCTCCTTTGCTGCCTTTCCTCACTGGTCTCTGCCTTTTCTCTTAGGCTGTTGTGTTTGTGTGAAGTCTGCTCTTCCCGACCTCAGAGCACCCTGTCATCTCCCTTCAGTTCTGTGTGCTGCTGAGATGAGAGGGTGAATGCCCGACTGCTGTTGCTATGAGTAGGCCGTCTGCTTCTTGTCACCCTGTGGACCCATGGGCTCGGGGTCCTCTCGTCTTTGATCTCATTGGTCCTGAAATGTAACCTGCTGTTGTATACTTTGAGTACTCCCAGGCCATTAGATCACTTGCATCAGCACATAAACATGCTTGTAGTATGGCTCATCTTTAAAAGTTCCCTTTGACACACAAGTGGTGCATAGGCACCCACACACATAAAAATTAAATAGGTCTTCTCTGTCTCTCTGAGAGCTATGGCTCAACAACTTCAGACAGGCCGTAATTCTTGTCCTTGGGCATCTGTGAGCATCTCAACAGCAGTCTCTTTGCCTGGACACTAGCACTGACCAACTGTCTGCCAAGGAAGATAATTGTAGGGGGCAGACATCTAAGTTTATGCAAGGACCTCGTTAAGAGAGTCAGGGTATTGGCTGTGATTACTTTCTTGCCAGAATCATGTCCTGTTGGGAAGAGTCATCAGTACACCAGTGCATAGGGGAAATTGGGCCCAGTAAACAATTAACACACTATAGTGCTGTGGGGAAAACCTCTGAGCTGTAATGTGAGGGAAAGAGCTCTTCACACAGCAGTCTGCAGTGAGGACAGCTAGCACACTCCTAAATAAGGGATCGCCATCAGATGTGCATCTCTGGTGACAGTATTCCTCATGGCCTTGCTAAGTGAGTCCGTCCTCCATGAGATAAGCATCTCTGATGGGCTGCATGCATCCCTGAAGTGCATGCTGAACTCTCACTGCGTATCTCTGTCCCTAGCAATTTAGGACATGGGATCATTAACAGCCACTATTCGAATGTGAGTACTTTTGTGTTCTTTCTGGTCTAGAACCAGTTTAGTCATAGTGCAAAGGTTATTAGCTAGTTTCAGTGACTCAGTGGGGTGTGGTAACCATTGTTGTGAATAATTGGTAAGCAGCAGCAAAAGCCCTAGTCCGTCTACAAGTCAGTGCGAATATCACCTTGACCAAGGGAAGAGCAGGCAAAAAACTAGTAAAGATAACAGTATTTTACTATGTAGGGTGTTCAGAAAAGACCATTGTTGTTAAATTAAGATATCATCTATAAAATATCTAAAGAGAAGCCATATAGAAAAAAATTACAAACTGAGGCGCAAACACAAGAGCCAAGTGCTTGCTTTAAAGAAAATCACAAATACAGATTGAGGATCCCTAATAGAAAATTTGAAATGTTCTGAAATCCAAAGAATTTTGACTACCAAAATGGCACTCAAAACATTGCTGATGTTTTTGGAGTATCTCATATTTATAGATTAGAAATCTTTTGGGAGGGCATTTGCAGGGGTGTGAGATAAGGTGTCACTGTGTAGTGCTGGCTGTCCTGAAACTCACTCTGTAGACCATGCTCTGCCTCCTAGTGCTGGTATTGAAGGTGTGCACCATCAGTGCCTGGCTACATTAGGAATATTAACCAGTCCATGCAAATATTATGAAATTCAGAGAGCTCAGGCCAGACTGGGTGTAGCATAGTGGCACATGCCTTTAGTCCCAGCACCAGGGAGCATGCATAGGTAGGCAAATCTGTTTAAATTCAAGGCATACCTGAGAATCTCTTTGTATTCAAGGCTAACTTCGTCTATATAGTGAAGTTCCAGACCAGAGCTACATAGACACTATCTCAAACAAACAAGCACACAAACAAATTTAGAGAACTACAAAATTTGAAATATTTGGTTTTAAACATTTTGATCAAAAGATACCCTGTACAGGAAATGGGGAAATTATGAGAAGATAAGGTAAAAAAGAGTTGTATTCCCAGTGTTTTAGATCTTTGCCACTGACGTAAGAGGAATAGCAGTAGGTGAATGATGCAGCTTAAAAAAAACTAAGCAACAGCAGCATGTGTTTTCTCACTGTGCTTTTCTTCACTAGGCCAACACACAGAGTATAACTGTACGAGGCATCAGATTCATCCCAGGTCCTCCTGGACATAAGGATCTTTGTTTTACTTGGCGAGAGTTTTCTGACTTTATTCGTGTGCACCTCATTTCTGGACCTCCAACCAAGCTGCATCTTATTGACTGGCCAGAGCTAAAAGAGGTATGCAGCTTCATGTGTCTTCAGGGGATAGTTAATAGTGCAGGCTCTTTGCTTTCAGAGCCTTAATGAACTAAAAGAGATAGATTTTGTTTTAAAAGAAATAATAATTGTAGCTAATAGTAGCAAAACAAGGTAAGTATCAGTTAACTGACTTTTGCTAAATTTGTTTCTTTGTCTTATATAGTAATATAAAAAATTTATTGCAGGCTTTTTCTTCCTTTGAGGATTAGTCTGTTTGTGTGTGAGGTTGTGTGTCTAAGAGAATGTGCACTGGTATGCACATGTGCCAGAGTGTACACACGGGACAGAAGAGGTCAACATGGCTGTCTTCCTCTGTCAGTCTGCCTCCTCCTTTGAGATAGAGTATCTCCCAAACCTGGAACCTGCCTTGGCTAGACTGGCAGCCAGCAAGCCCCAAAACTATCCTGGCTCTGCCTCCCTCATAGCCAAGATTAAAGGCTTGAGTTAAACCACCATGTGGTTGCTGGGAAATTAACTCAGGACCTTTGGAAGAGCAACCAGTGCTCTGAACTGCTCAGCCATCTCTCCAGTCCCTAGCAATAGTTAACCATCTCTTCACCCGTGTTGAAGTTTTTGTAAAGCATATTTGAAATATCAGATAACCAATACAAATGGGCTTTCTATGAAAATGCTTAAGTCTTAAATACTCATTTTGCAAACATCTAGCAAATCCTACCTCTGCTGATTTTATTTACTGATATTTTAGAATCCAGTGAATTTGGGCTGTTGCATGACGGCACATAGCTCTAATCTCAGCACTCAGGGTTAGAGGCAGGGTGATTTCTGTGAGGTCAAGGCCAGCCTGAATCCAGTTTTAAAAATTTAATCACTTTTTTAAAAAAAAATTATGTGTTTATTATGTATACTGTGTTCTGCCTACATGTATGCCTGCAGGCCAGAAGAGGGCACCAGATCTTACTACAGGTGCTTGTGAGCCACCCTGTGGTTGCTGGGAATTGAACTCAGGACCTTTGGAAGAGCAGGCTGAGCCATCTCTGCAGTCCCCAAAATTTAAACATTTTGTTAAACAATAAAAATTGTACATACTTAAAATGTATAATGTGAAATGACAAAATGGATTTAATGATAATATGTGTATTAGCTTATATACTGTTTTATGGTGATGACATTTTTAAAATACAATGTTTTTATTGAGAATTTTCTTTACAAATACATTATATTTTTATCAATTATACCCCTCACTCCTCCCTTTAACTCAGCAGTTTTCAACCTGTGGGTTGCACCCCCTTGAGAATTGAATGACTCTTTCACAGGGGTTGCCTAAGAGACCAGAAGACATAGATATTTATATAACAATTCATAAGTAGACACACCAGAGAGTGGAATGGGGCCCATATCTGAGGATTCCCACAGATGTGTGTGTTCACACAAGTCATGCTGCCTGCTCTATGGCTTCAGGGTACAGCCTGTAACTCCCCTGGGCTGTCAGTCTTCTGGTATAGCCAACCAATCTTGTATCTTCCAGAGAATCCGTCTTTGCCACACCTGTGTAAGTTCCTGATGGTGTGCCACACGGTCCAGGTGCTATCATTGCAAAAGACC